CTGTTTCCACTGTTTTTTAACTAGCTACCTGCAGGGCTAAAGAGATTTCCTTTCCTAAGCAAAAAAGGACATAACCGATGCTAAAACACATACTTTCTTATCTTCTGGAAAACTAGCACGTTCCAAGCACCACCCGTCAACTAATTCTGTCTGTAAGTGACTGCTGTCTGATACCCAAGTACAAACTCATTGCCAGCTGCGTAAGGAAAATCACACTCAAAGGAGGAAGCTATTTGCCAAGGTCTGGACCAAAGCGTCAGTAGGCGAGAATCCAAAGGCAGCGAGAAGTAATGCTGGTGTTATCTGGCTTAGCGTGCGTGGCGTCGGAATGAGGGTATGGCATCTAGGTTAAGACATATTCGAAATGCTGGATTAGACTCTCAGGCTGTTTACCTTTGCTTTTTGTCCCCGAACGCAAAGAGAACAGGCTGCATTATTCCAGTCAAAAAACGCTGAGCTGAAAAGTGGTTTTTTTTCTGAATTATATGCAAAAAAGATACGTCTTTGTGGCACAGAAAGCGCACGAACGGAAATCTGTTTTTTCTCAAGAAAAACCGCTACTCTCCTTACTAAGAAAATGTATTTTGAAAGCATTTCTTTACCTTGGACTTAAGATGTCCCACCTCACAGGTCTCCTTTGGTTGAAAAAGGCACAAATCCTGCTTCCTTGGCTTTGGGCCTAGACCCACAGCAAGAAAACAATAGCTGTTTCCCTCTGACACTCGCAGGCGCAGCTATCTCAACAAACTCACGAGTCATAGGCAAAGCCAGACCTGCAGCGCATGAGGATTACTCGCTCAGGGAAGGTGTAACCAGCAGAGGAACGATAGGTATGTACAGCTTTCTTCACAAAATGAGAAGCAATCATGGTTTGCTCATTAAAGGCTGTCTGACCCTTCTGTCCACTGATCCATCTCATGTGAACAGACTCCAACACTGACAACCGGCCCTTGCTCCTCCAGCACGCTCACTCACTGCATTCAGCTGTCACCGAGAACACCAAGCCATCGCTTCCTTTAATAGGAAGATCACGCCTCAAGCGCCAAGCGATGGCAGGATCGTTCACCGAAGCGAGACAAACCGTTAGCGCATCGAGAAAACCTCTTCAAAAAGAAGTTTGTCCCTTTTGTCCCAGTGAACAACCCTGCTTTCAGATATGTGCGCTCGGGTAGTTTACTCAAGTATTTGTGGCGCTAACAGGCTAGGTAAGTATATTGATACAAAAAACGCTCAAAGTTATTTTAAGAGCTCAAAACTTTATACCAGTTACTGGAAACGGGATGGAACAACTCAAAGGTGGATTTAGGCACACCACTGCACAACATCTACTGGCGGCCACTGCCAGTACAAACGCCTTCATAGATGTCCGTGTATATCTGGATTTACCGGGGAAAAGAAAACATCTTAAACTCGTACCTTTTCATTGCCGCAGAGTAGAACCGGCCTTCCTCTAATATCCAGCAGGCCAAGACTTAAAGTAACATGTGCTACTGCTCTGAGGGAAAAGCAGCATACTGGGAAGGAGGGACGCGAAGCCCAGAAGCAGACAGGAAGCTACTCTGGTCACAGACAACTGCAAACCACTCAAAAGCTCCATAAATACACAATAAAGAAAACCGCTGTGAGAAGCTATCTTTTTTTCCTACAAAATGCAATAATCATGGAGAACAAAAGATTTGGGAAAAAGGAAGGAATTGTGCTAGCAGACACGACCCTCACGTTACCAGAATTCCTGGATAACGATCTGGATATCGAAAATACCTTGCAAAATCAGCCATGCGTGCAGATAATTGTGCAAGAACATCAGGCTGCTCTTCCAGGTCTCAGCTGAGGCAGCTACCAGCGACAAGGACACAGGAGCTCTCCTGTCTAAGTGGCATCACCACTGAAAGGTCAAGAAAAATCTGGAGGCATAACTTACAAATAAAGATGTGGGACCATAAACCCAGGCACGCTTAGTGGAACTATAGGCAACTCCATGGCGAGGGGAGCAGGTTAAAAGCCAGATGATGTATATATCCTGAAAAGCAGACCTGGCTGTGTAGGATCAACAATAAAAATTATCTTTGGCCTTGCCCTGCAGCAGATCAGATTTGCCTGTCACACAAGCGTAGCACCCTTGGACAGCAAGAGACTTCCAGACATACAGTTCCACCTGTCAGTTGTGGTTTTTGTTTTTTAAGCAACCAACCCACTGGACGCTGTAGGTCTTGACGGTGCTTACGTATCAAATTTACACAAGGAAGCTGGTAGCTAGCTGTTATTAGTCAGGGCCATAGCTCAAGTAGAAAAAAACATTACTGCTTGCTAGCAAGCACTATAGAAATGCTGGATGTGACCGCACAGCAAAAGTCGTCTCTACAAGGGAGTTGCTGGCTGCCCTACCTCTCAGAAAACCCGACTGTAACCTAAATCCTTTGAAAGGAACGAGTCTTCCATGAAGCCTGCCCTCCCCTGCTTCCAAACTTTCCGCTAAGGAGACTCAGCAACAGTTTTCCTTCCAGAATATTGATACGAGTTCAAGACCGAGCCAGGGCAATGCCAGCTGACACACAAACTTTCAAGAGTCCACCATCCCAGAAACAGCTCAGCGGTGCCTCTCCAGTTCCTAACTGCCTATTTTTGGAAAATAAACTCCAGTCCCCTCAGCAATCAGAGTATAAAAAATACATAACAGATGGAATCTACAAGCTACGCTAGCAGCTTCGCTCCTGTTCTGCTTTCAAGCTGGGAAGGGAAGAGGAAGAACAGCTCAGTTTTCCACGCTACCATTGGTTTAGCCTATCAGTTAGAAAACCTGATATCTACTCCCAAAAGAAGACTAGAGATGGAAGAGTTTCTGGGAGAAGAGTCTCATAGCTTTCAAATAGGAGTTGTAATCCATTCCCAGGCTCACTAGGCTATGGCTCGGTTACCACCGAGATTGAGCTTGTTTACTCCAAAGCAAAAAGCTTGGCATGACTTACAGAAACACCTTCTCTTGCCAGAGCCCTAATAGCAAATGTCTGTGGAAAAGCCGCTTGGAGAAGTGCTGTTTACTTTGCTAACGAAGCAAGTTCCCTGGAATGAAGTCTTGCAATCTTCCCAAGAGATGTTGCAATACATTTACCTGTACCTCAGCTACACACCATACAGGCTGCTCTCAGTGTCTGAGAACTACTTGGCTAAGTCGGGAAGCCAAGGCAAAAGCATCTCAGCTACTCGGGACAGGACTACGCTCTACTCCCACACCAGGTACGCAACTTGGGTCCTAACTGAAACCGGCCGTTCTTTTTTTCTTTTGTCTCTGCTTCAAACTAAACGGCAGCCAGCAGCACCTCCGGAAGATGCTTTTGAAAAAAAAGCCTGGAAACAAAGGTCTTGATCATCTTCTTTGTAACTGTGGCTTTACAGCCAAACCCATCCACTTCACGCTAATTTTTTTAGGCAACTGAGAGCTTAGACCCCAGCTCACTGCTGGAAGTGCTTAGAGGGAACACCAGCATACAGTTGGACTCATCACCACCCGGAGAAGACAAGAAATTCAAGGCAGGCAGCGGAAGCCAAGGCTCCCTTTCTGTTTAGGGAGTGACCAGCCTGAGACTAGTCTGCTTTTCCTCCTTTATTTAAGACCAAGTTTCAAGCCGCTGTCCAAATTCTCTCTGAACACACAGAGATGAAAGGCTCTCCCCTCTCTCCTATGCCCAGCTCTCGAGTCCAGTGCAAAGGGCTACTCATCTGCTCTAACTTCAGCTTGAGATTTTGCTTCCAACAAGGTGGCTCACTTAGCCCCTCCCTACCCCAGTAACTAAGGGATTCCTCTGTAGTTGAATTAAATGGACTTCCTACTGAAAGAGGTACTTGCATTTGCACATTTTGTTTACAAACAAGTTGCACTCTTGTGAAAGCACCGAGCTCCTACTTCACACATGGCTGTAGTTCTCCACAGCCCTGCTTTGTGCTCTTAAATGTTGCGATTCCTGCTTTGAGCAGAAACCAAGCTCTAATTTCAAGTGTTTACATGTACTCCCAAGAGCAAAAAAAAAAAAAATCTTACCATGAGTAGGTTATGTAAAAAGTTTAATTATGAAATAAATAAGTTTGTTATGGAAACATTAAATATTAAATACAGTAATAAATATTTACACATTTACAGATATGACTTGACAATTAATGGTGTTTCTCTGCTACCAGAAGAATTCTGCTCTGTTTATACAGAACACATTCACTCTTCCAAGAAGAAACTGAACTCAAATAATACTCCGTGCTCAGGACTGCATGGACAGTTCAAGAAACCAAGGACACAGGGGTCAGAAAACTTTGAGGTAAGTTGAGTTCTTCACACCAGAAGGCAGAGCACAAGAGACAACTGCTTGCAGAGTGTCAGTGCATGAATCGAATTCTTCCAAGGAACAGGTTCTCTGTCAAGTTCAAGTGACGGGATTTCATGTGAAGCATTTTATACTTGACATGCTGCTTTAAGCAGCCTCGAGTATCTGGGTAACCGAAGTAGCTTTGCGTTCATAACAGATGGGTCCCGGCTCATCAGCTCGTTTGAGCATGGATCTTGTCCTTCAGACACAGAGCTTCTGATCTTGCATTTACTGTCTCAGCATCCTGAGGAGATTAATTTTAACTCGGGCTAGCACACACGCAAATGGATAGCTCCACTCACACAACGAGCCCTACTGAATTCAGAGGGATTACTTTCCACGCATACAGTAACAGAACCCAGGTGTGGCTGACAAAGATCTGTCACCAACGCCCTGCAAGTCACAACTAGAGATGAAGTTCTTTGAAGCTGATATCAACAGGGAGCACAGTGACAGCAGAATTAGGTTTTGCATCCACTGAGGTCTAGGGAGAGAAGCCATCCAGAGCTCTTCCCTTTTTAACTTTGGAAGAGGGAAAGGAATTTTCTTCCCTCCATCCATTCCCGAAAGCCACAACAAGCTCTCTCCCTTAGGGTTAGAGCTGCCAAAGGAGACTTGCTAACAGAAGAAAGTCCATCCACACAACAGCAGAGACTGGAGCTCCCGCACCGACACAGCGGGCTCGGTAGCAGTAGTCTCTAGCAGGTCTTGATAGCAGGCCCTCTACCCATAGCGGCAGCTCCTTTCACATCGTTGTGCCAAGATGTAGCGGTAACTGTCCTCCCCAGCAAGCGATTCAGCAGCAAGTGGCATGTTGACATCTCCTTGCAGCAGCCTCTGTCTTGATGAATCAGGGCTTAGTGGCAGCAGCTCCAGCCCACAGTGTCCAGGTGGATGTGTCAGGTAGCCAGAGGTAACCCGCAGCTTGGCAGTGGCCACATCAGAATTGTTCTGTAAGGGGCAGACCAGGCACGTTAATCACCACCCAAGACACGAGCACTCTGTGCTAGAACTGTGTCAAGCCTGCATCCGAGACAGGCAGGTTAAGTATGTGCACACACCTGAGGACACTCTGCTAGATACTCCTCAGCCTCAAGTAAGCTTTGAGCAAAACACTGCAATTGTCACTGGACAAAGCTTGGGCAAGGTCTGCAGCTGACATGTGGCAAAGCAAAACTTGTGAGTTCTGCCAGAACTTCTCAGGACTATCCTTTACAGTCTCCTCCTTGGGCTTGCAGTATAACTCATGTTCAATAAGGGCCCTTGAGTCTGCTGTGAGGTATGCTTTTGCTCCAAAGAGACCAACTTGCTGGCTCATTAAAATCCACTGGATTTCTCCCAGGAGTGATTCACCTAGGCCAGGGAGCTTTAGCACTCAGCTGCTAAGACAGCACGAAACTTGACTGGGAGGCTATCTGTGGCGCTCACAGAATTGGCAGCTTGGTCTTGGTCTACAGCCTCTAAGCACCAGAAACCTCCCGAAGCCTTGCAGAGCAGGCATGAAAACGCTCAGTACTTATCTTACGAGGGGTGACGATCAACTTGGCTGCTGCAGCATCTCCCATGATGGGAGTCTAGCGTGGCTTCTTGCACTAAACCTGCCTCTGCCCAGATATTAGGGTTGGTTTCTTTTTTTTTTTCCCTCCTTTGTAAGTCCACTTATCACAGCACATCGTCCTACCCTCCCTGGTCCTTTAAGACGGCAGCCAGAAAGCTAACAGTGCTGTTAAGGTACTCGCATAACTCGGGTGGTTTCAGGAAACCAGAGAACAGAGCCAGTCGCTCACATGTAACCTACGTGTTTCAAGGCACTTCTTGTGTTAGAAGGAAACACTAGCTTCGCAAAGCACGCGTGCAATTCTCATATGGTATCTCCAGCCTGCAAGGACCGGAAGGCTGACCTTTCCAAGTCAGCTTTCATACCTGCTTTCTCCTCATTTACACACCAACATGGCCATTTCTGTTTTCTTGTCGAAGTTTTTTCCTTTCTTCTTTCTCTTCGTACTGAGGACACTTTTTCCTGACCCTGTGGAATTACGGCATGTTAGAGGTCATTTTGAACCCTGATGTACATCCTGTTGTTACCGGCCCCCACAACTTCTGCAGCATTGAGACTCCTGTCCTTTGAATCCTCAAGCAACTCCTCAGTGCCAGGAAGTTTCAGCAAGACAGCTTTTAGGCCTTCGGCATCAAGCAGTATCTGACCACAACACCAAGAAGCCCCTGAGCTAGGCACTGCCGGTTCTGCCTCACAGCACCAGGGCTTCCTGGCTTAAGCCCAAAGAGGTAGCAAGATGAAGAAGGGTTATTGCGAGAACTGAGCAAAGCACCAGGAGACTTTCCTGGGGGACAGATTTCCCGGTGGCTTTAGCGAACAGCTGCAGAGACCAGGCTGCCTTCCTCCTCCCCACAGCAGAGCCCTGGGGACTTCAAATGCTTCAAGTCCCCTCGATGTGTCCCTTGAACACATGTTAAGCAAGCTGCGTATTCATTTTCTCCCAATTTCTCCAGTCTTTTCTAGTAACTGTTCCTAACAGGCCATCTAGCGTCTCTGGATGAAGGCACAGATTAATGAATGTCAGGCTTCCAGCCTGTGAGGGTTCAGAGCGTGAAACAAACACAATCCTATTCCACGGCTCGCTCCGGGAACTAACAACGATCATTTGCTCTTACAGCACTGCAGAACTGGTTCTCTCTCCTAGCAGCGAGGAATGAGGCAGTGCTCAGAGAACAAGTGTTCATCCCAGCATTCCTCAAGTTCAGATCTAAATATGAAGCAACTGTGACACGACAAATGCACACCTTGTTTCCTGAACTGCAGGAAAGGATACGGCATGTACCCAATTCAGTTCATGTACTTCTTCAAGATCTAAAATTAGACTGAACTTTTGAGTTTCACCTACAATATCCCAAGCCCTACTGTGGTAGAGCTGCAGCGTCAGAACTGGGGGACTGCTCCAATACTCGGGGAACACTGGAGTCAGGCTCCCCATGACGACTACCTAACCTCAGCACAAACTCCTGGCGAACACACTGGCAAGACGCAAAGGCACAGGCAGGCATAAGCTGCTGCGTGCTGCTTGTTAGCAGGTGCAAAGAAGAGTTTGATAGAAGGCCTGAACCATGCACCCAGAAAAGCTTTTTTAATTTACGCACAATAGGACCCCAGGTTCTGACTACCCACCGCACTGAACTGTCAGCAGTTGGTTAGGCTGGAAGGGTCGTTCCCTCCATCTCAACAGAAAGCAGTACGATATTTGGGACTGACAGCGCTTGTTCCCCCATTTGCTTTCCCCTCAGTGTAAGCGTTTTAGTCCAGCAACCTCCATTAATAAACGGACAGCTGGAGCACCGTGTCCTTCCCTCCAGCTGTGTACCCAATTGCTGGACAGTAGCCATGCACGAGGCTGTTACCCTACCACTTGCAGGCTTCTCCACGAGGATTAGGGAAGGCACTGCTGTGTCAGCATTAATGCTCCTCCACCTCCTGCTGATGTTCTGCAGAACTGTAACTATCCTGGTTGTAGCAAGAGCAGAAAGGCTCTCGTTTTAAAATATAAGGGTCACGGGCTGCCCACAGCCAATAGCCAGAGAGGGTAAGTGAACACTTAAGTCACTTACAAACTTCTCAGACCTTGCTTCTGCCCTCAAGACATATCCAAGCTGGGATAAGAACACAGCCCCTTCTGGATGTCTTCCAAACAGGTAATTCTGATGAGGCATGCACGTCTCAGGGCTATGGGACACAAGCCACGCACACGCTTAAGCTAGACAGACACCAAAGAGTACAATACTTACTGCACTATCACAATGATAAGTACAGTAATGAAGCTGATGCTTGAGAGCAGGACAGCTACCACTACCAACACAGTCTTCGAGTAGTCTGCCACATCATTCTTCCTTTGAGTCTTCATGAACTGTTCACCACAGCGCTCCCCAAAAAAATCCTGATGACACCTGCAAGTAAACATTAACACAAGTTCTTATCAGCTCCGGTGCTGTCTGGAGCCAAGGACACCCACGCACATTCAAACCTGACTTAGACATCTTCAGAGTTTCCCATGAATCTCAAGATGCTCCCTTTAGAGCGTGTTCATGAAATGCAGTCACTGCTCTAGCACAAGGTTTGTCAGCATTTCAACAAGTCGAGATTAGTTTGGGCGTGATGTTCCAGGAAGACACGCCTATTCATTCTTTTGGTTTGAGTTTATGACCAACTGATGAGTTCAGTGGCTTGTTATGCATCTCAGATTCCATCATCACTTAATTTACATGGCAGAAAGATTCTCAGTCAAAATACCGCAGGAGATGGGCCTAGGCCAAGTTGACACCGAGTTTTCCTCTGAGCCCTCGTACGCCACCGGCTCACGCCAATCACGCCTAACTCACAAGGTACAAGTGACTTACTTGCAGGTCACCATCTGGAGATGTTCTAGGTATATGCATTCACCATGGATGCAAAAGTTTTTGTATTCCATTTCACAGGGAGTCCCTTTCTTTTTGTTTTTCCCTTTGTTTTTCTTCCTTTTTGATTTGCCGGCATTCTTCTCACCCCCCCTCTTTGTTGGCTTGGGTTTCACCACAGGTTCAACTGAAAAAAGCACAAGATGACTCAGTCCAGCAACGCTAAAAAGCCCGATTCTGTGAAAACTGAATTGCAGAATTCAGCGAGGGGTAGGGGGACGGTCAGTGCAGGAGAAGCTGTGACCAGGAAGCACAGGGTGCCAGCAAGCATGCAGCTGGGCATTTCACACCCAACACAAAGCTTCGAAGCTCATTAAGCGCAACTCTGCCACCATGAAGTCCTGCGCAACGCAGATCGAAAGCGGTACGAGCAGAGGAGCTCAGAGGGCCACCAGAGATGAAGAGCAAAGCTGAAGGACTGCAGCATTTCACAGCATAAGATATTCGAGTGAAACCATAAGGGTCCAAGCAACGACCTGTAAAGAACACGGAGCTCACACTGAGCCAAGCCATCCACTAGTTTTATATCGACTCAGATACAAGGCTAACAGCCTCCATCGCTCTAAAGTCTCCATTTGCATCGGTGATGGAAGGCATAGTAACTCACTAGGTAGTCCTGGGCACTTGCAGAGGCAAGACAGCCTGCTGTCCCAGTCAGCATACTTGTTTCTCCCAAATAACCTGCAGTGCTGTCTTCAGCAGAAGACAGTTCGTTTCCAGTTCTCCTACTCTGAGGGAGATGCCGAGTGCACCGAAGGAGTGAAAGCAGGATAGTCCACAAGAGTCGGGTTATTTGTTCTGCCGCTTACTGTTGCCCCTCATTATCTCAATTAAGACAAACCTCTAGAAGAGTGTGGTTTAAAATCCTGTTGACTTGGTAGCCTTTGGATTTAAGCAAGGGCAATAGTCTTCCTTTCGCTGTGGAGAACAAGCTAGAGCCAGTCCCTGACTAAGGGTCATCAGCTCCGTAGCTGCTCCATGCAGCAGTCAAAGCTCGACAGCATTGTTTTAGTGCAAGTTGGCAGAACGCTGGTTCTCCGAAGAAACCATGCCTTTAACGCTAGCCATAAAGCGGGTCTTCTCAGCGCAACACTGCGCTATTCAGGAGTAACAGTTAACCAGGTGAGTTTGAACAGGTCTCAAGAACAGTAGAGCTATCTACAATACTCTTCCATTTCTCTATAGCGCTCTGCAGAGCTAATGGAAAGAGTTTTTGGAGCATTCATATTTTACCCAAAGCGCTATGCACACAGGCAATCACCACAATAGGACGCAACTTGATCCAACTACTTCACAACCCTGTATTTCTAGTGACGAGAAGAGAGCCTGCACAAAGAAACAAGGTGTAGCTCACTGTTGTCTAGACAGTTGTTCATTTTAACTTCTAGAGCAACAAGCCTGGCTTGAAGTTACTTAAAAGCAAAAACGCCTTCAGCAACCAGAAGTCCGATTCAAATGGTACAAGCTATATTAATATGTAAACGAGGAACACTGCTCCTGCAGCAAGGTTTCCTGTCCCTAGAAGTGTGAGCTTACTGCTGGCAGCTGAGGCCCCTGTTCTGTCCAGTTCGACTTGATATTTAGGTTCACACTTTGATAATTGAGGCTGTTTCCATTCTTCCCTCTTCAAGGCTCAGCTTGTCGGTTTGATCTCTGTGTCCCTGTCTGCAAGCTGCACAGCCAGGAAAGCCACCCGCAGTTGAATCATCACAGCTTGAAGGCTGCACAGATAAACCTCATGCCAAGTAGAAGAGCTGGTCTACAAACCAACCACCTTTGGTAACAATTCTGGTTCCTGTGCAGTTATACAACACTTAAGTCACCGAGCCAGTAGTTCTACAAGCCAAACTGCTCAATAACTCTGACATTCCTGTTTCCCCAGGAGGTCTTCAACTCATGAAAAACTTCAGCAAGGGTCCACAAATTCCCCACCAGACGGAGCATGGGGAGCATGGTCCCCCTTCACCCAAGAGGCCCTTTAGTCTTACTCAAGTCTCGGGGTGTTTCCACAGGTAAAATAGCAGCCAGATCCACCCTAGAGGGCAACAGCACCAGCCTACTAACATCTCCTCAGGTACAAGCTAGGGACCTACGAGTGATTTGTATTACAGTCGCACTTAAGCCAGAACCAACAAAATCCTCCCATCCCCACAGGCAGGTGGGCTATTGAGATCAGCTTACAAGTGAATAAATTACAATCAACTCGCACAATAGCTATTGTCCGTGAAGTATTGGCTGAAAGATGCTTCACAAATTTTCCTGCAGCCACTTAAGGAGTTTAAGCGTTTGCTTTTCCACAAAGTTTTAGTCAACTCCAACCCAAATAAGCCATCGTGAGAAAACACCCAGGAAACCCTTGGAGCAAGAAAGGCAACCAGATGCAACACCCACCTTTGGGGCCAAACAGCACCCATAAGCCCCACTGTGGTAAGTAGGTGGTAGCTGCGCCATCACAGTCTTCTCCTCAGGTTTATCAAACGAGAGCAGTAGAGCAGGCAATCAGCTAACCTGCAGCTTCCACACGCCCTAGTTGCACTCGTGCTAAGTTTTCAACCCTGACAGCCTATATTAATGCAGCACGTTGCAAGCAGAAGCACACTTTTGAGCCGTACTCTACAAGCCAAGCGCAGGCAAGTCAGAAAGAAGTCGGTGCTCACAGCTGGAGAGCCCTCAGGCCAGGCACCACGGAGCTGACGAGATCACCTCACACCTGGCCCCGTCCCCCAGCGGCCTGCCCACTCACCTCGGATCAAGTCGTCCACGATGTACTGGTGTACGGGCAACGCCTCCTCGTACTCCTCATCCTCCTCGTAGTCGGGACCCGAGGCGGCCTCGGCCTCGCGGGCCTCGGGCTCCCCCTGGCCGGGGCCTC